AAGAAAAAAAAAGAAAAAAGAAAAGAAGTGTAAGTCATTGAAGAAAAAAAAAAAAAAAAGAAGAAAAAAAAAGAAAAAAGAAAAGAAGTGTAAGTCATTGAAGATCAATGAATCAGAAATTAGAAAAAAATAGCTATTCAAAAGGAAAGAAAGGAAAGTGAAAAACACTACCCTGCCACTTTATCTTAAACTTGTAAGAGTGTTAAATGAAGTAACAGAAATATGATGTTTTTAATTATAGGACTGTTATGTTATTCCATTTATCTAGCTGAGAAATCCATCCCTATCAATGTTGATTTTTCATTTTGTAGATGGTAATAACTTTTTGTGGACTTTACTTTGCTAATAACTTTTTGTGGACTAGATATATCATTATAAATAATGATTTAAAGGACATGAATAAAATAACTTCTGTACAGCTGAGGTATTTGTAGTTCACACAGGCATTTATTATTTACTTCTTCCTATTCAATTGCATATTGATCCATTCTTGATTCTTTAGCAAAGAATGCTTATTATAGTACTTGCTGTGTGCCTTAATAATAAAATGTAAGAAATATAATATTTAAGGCATGAATTTTATTAAACAAAAATCTTTAAGAAGCCTGAAATTTAACGCTAATTTTAAGTCATATAGAATCATGTTGATACATATGTGTCCATACCTTTGCTCAAATTCCTTCCTTCATCCTTTCTCTCTTTCTCTCTCTCTCTCTCTCTCTCTCTCTCTCTCTCTCTCTCTCTCTCTCGCGCGCGCGCGCGCGCGCGCGCGCGCGCTTTCTGACAGGGTCTCACTATGTAGCCCAGGCTGGCCTTGAACTCATAGTGATCCTCCTGCCTCAGCTTCCTGAGTGCTGGCATTATAGGCATGCACCATCACACTTAGCACTTTGTTCAAATTCTAAGCTTGTCTTTCATCTTAAGTTTACAGTATATATTAGCATAGTTTATAATACTAAAAATTATTAGTTTGAGAAATTAAGGACATGATTTTTTTACTTAGATTTCTCCTGATGGTAATATTTAAACAGACATAAGCAAAATTGATTCTCTGATTGTGCAAGAAATAGAAATGATGAGTCTTATGTCAATTCTTTCCATTAAGGTTCTTGATGAGCTATATAACTCTTTTAGTTAGGTGTCTAAAGTACATTTGACATATAAATTTCTACTTGTTTTAACAGGGTGGTAGGATATTTTTGGCATTTAAGGTGTTCTTGTTTATTTACATTCTGTAAGTAGGTTCATTGTATTCTTAGATTTATTTTGACTTTGAAGTTGATAACCACACTAAAACCTTTAGAGTGCTGTGACTATGGAGAGTTGCAGGGCAATGAAATATATTCAGATTTCAAAAAAAACCCATTTAATATTTGTTATATAGTAGAAAACTTCAAACTAGTAAAAAGGAAAGAAAAGCAGCATTATAATTCGAATGAACAGAAGAAAAGAGTAATATATTGAAAATACATAAGTGGGTAAGTATTGGCAACATATCTGATAATGTCAGTGACATATTGATTTTTGTTGTCTTTAAAACTTCCAGTTAAAGGGAAACAATAATATTCCAGAGACTAAATACACTTAGTTGGGTTGGGATGAAGGTGGGCTAAATTGCTAAAATGTTTTTATATAGCTCAAATGTATATCTTATGACTCTCAGAAATATTAACATTTGGCAGAACATCAAACGAATATGAAGCACAGTCCAGGATCCTGACTAAAGTATTATGGTGTGTAAGGAATTTGTTGGTAAGTCATTCTTAAAAACCAAACCTAAATGTTGAAATCAGCTGCTTGTTTTATTTCCAATTTTAATTGATGAGATAAGTGAGTGATTCATTATATAAATGAATTATATGTCTCTTTTACACTGCATTTATGAAAAAGAAAGAATTAAGATAGTAACTTCCTCCCCAAAGATAAACACCAAAAGCCATTATATGTTCATCCAGAACTTGTT